CGTGCAATGATGAATAATATATAATAATAATAATTATAATAATACTAATAATAATAATAATAATACTAATAATAATAATATTAATAATGCAAGAAAAGACACACACAGAGAAGTTAACTAAAACATTCCATAAATAATTTATACATATATAATAGATAGCGTCTTCCGTGAAAATAAATAAAATGGAAAACAACCAAAGAAACAAACAAACAAACAAACAAACAAATAAATAAATGAACAAACATATTCGGAACCGATCGTTTCGTTAAATTCTAACGAATATTTTCACTATAATATTGTATTATATTTTCAAATGATACATCTTCTTCGAAATATTTTCATTACGTATCATAATTCGTCCAGTATTTACTAACAGGTTAGTCCAAGTAGATAAAATAAACAAGAAAAAAACGAACAAACAGAAAAAAAAAAAAAAAAAAAAGAAAGAAAGGAAAATGATTATTGGAGGAGGACTTGTGAAGGGTTGGGATTTAATGGGGGTCATGGATAAGGGGGAAGGGGGATTCTTCTAATTAAACGTAAATGAGAATAATTTTCTTGCTCTCGTTATCATTTAATTAGATTTGTTTTGAAAAATTGTTCCCTTTCGTGTTTACAATCAGTTCGATGCAAACGTTCTTTTTTCTTTTCTTTTCTTTTTTTTTTCTTTTTGTGTGCGTCAAATCGAACAAACAAATGTGCACAAGAAAAAACAAACAAACAAATGAACAAGAACAAACGATGTGGGTCCACCACAAGTTTTTGCCTCGCCATTTTGTAACACGCACACTTTACATAGCACCTTGAGACGTTTAAAAAAAAAAAAAAAGAAAAAAAAACAAATTATATTAAATTAAATATTATACGATAAAGTAAATATATATATATATATATATAAATTAAGGAATATTATAATGATTAAAAAAAAAGGAAACGAAAAAAGAAAAAAAATTAAAATATAATATAATAAAATAAAATAAAATAAAATAAAATAAAACATAAAACATGAAACACACAAAACGTAACGACAAAAGGAAAGAGAGAGAGAGAGAGATGGGAATTTAAAAAAAAAAAAGATAAAGAAAAGAAAAAGTCAAGTTTAAATCGAAAGTAAAAATATTAAGGGTCTGTAAAGTTGGTTATTAAGAAAAGAATAATGTCGGAAAAGGGTTGTTTTTGTTTAATTAAACGAAATGTCGGGTCTGTCGTTACATACGAAATCTTTTTCTCAGGAAATCCGCTTTTTCTCGTACTGGTCTGTGTGTGTGTTTTTTTTTTTTCTAATCGAACGTTCGTTTATAAATTAAAAAAGAAAAAAAAGAACAATTGAAAAAAATGTGCATTTTCTATTTATTTCCTTTATTATTTTTAAATAAAATATTATACCATATCGATATTTTTTTTGTATTTCAAATTATATTTGAAATAGAAAAAATCTAATCGGTTGGGTTTTTTTTTTTCTTTCTTTCAATTGTTTATATAAAAAAAGAAGACAAAGATAGATTCTTTTGTTATTATTTGAAAGAAATCAAAGAAAATGCGTGTGGATCAATTTTTGTATTAATTTTATGATACAATAGAAAAAAAAAGAAAACGAACGATCGATTGAAATATTTGTTGTGTCAAAACACATAAGGGACGATTTTTTTAGTATGTATACTTATATAAAATATATATATATATATATATATAATATTATGTATTCTATTACATAGAACAGAAAGTACGCTTTTTAATAAACGCAAAACCACCCCCGCCCCGCCCCACCCCCCACTCTTCTTCTTATCCGAGGATCTCGAATTTTCGACATGGAAAAAATTGTTCACGTAAAAAAAAGAAAATAAAAAACATGTGTCACCAAACAACAAACAAATAATTAAAAAGAAGAAAAGAAAAAAAAATAGTAGTTCGATTACGCGAAGCTTTTGTCAAAAGTCAATACTTAACGCCCAATTTGTTAAGTGGCCTGACATTTCTTTCGTGTATGTGTATGTGTGTCTAACTTTTTTCGATATTATTATTAATAATTTAATAATATATATATATATATATATAATTAAAAAATAAGTCTCTCTCCCCTCTCCGTCGATAATAATAATAATAATAATAATAATAACAATAATAATAATAACAATATATTATTAATGATAATT